CAGCACATAATCATACGGTACTAATTACAAAACATTTAACTGAACCTAATAGCATACGAATATCTTACTTGCTTGAGGGTAGTCTTGGAAGAGACATATTATGATGAGTTCAAAATGAATATCCAAACGCCTAGCAGTCTTTTATAGATATTAACGAAATCCATGCTAAGTTTTCGAAAACATTCATGTTTAAAATTTCTTATTTTCGTGAAATAATGTTGAGACAAAATTTACTAAGACTTTAGTGGGAATGAAACATGACAGTGACCTAGAATCAGTTGAATTTTCTTTTCGTGCATGGTATATTCGGATTACTTGAGCTTGGATGCAGATAATGACTTCATTTACCAAAAAGAGACTGTTATACAGGTTAGCACACTCACAGGTAGATGCTGATCAGACAAGATACAAAATGAAATCAGCTTCAGATTGCTTGAAGCGCTTTCATTGTTGATAAGTAATGCAGGACAAGAACGCCTCATTAGCAGTGGTAACACTTTGCAGATGACAACTGATAAACTAAAGTTTGTCACCAAATAAATATTTTCTCCCTAATTTTTGAGTTGACTACAGAATATAGCCCTCGTCATCAGAATTGAGATGACGTCTATATCATCTGTCAAGTTTTAATTTATGTGACTGTCTTATGGACAAAAACTGCTTTATACAGCTTTATAAAGACACTACAGATAGCCTGAAACATAGAAAATAAGCTGACAAAAGAGCAGATCCAAACATGATAACTGTGTCTGGTGCTAAGAGAATTTTGAGAAAGACAGGAGAGACATTTGCACGATGTATCCTTATTTTTGAAAGAAAAAACACAGGAAAACAATGTAAGCATCGAAAACTTGATGTTTGTTGGAGAATACTTTCGTCATTGTTATAAATTTGATGATGTCTACCTATCTATTGACCACCTCAAAAAGCTCTTGAATCGATCACCACCTGAAACTCGTCCGGAAATAGCATTCGCGACGGCAATACTACCAGTGAACACAGGCCCTCCGACTAAAGCAGAAGTCCTGAATGCCATAAAACTGCTGAAATCCGGGAAAGCAGCAGGACCAGATGGAACTCCTTCAGAAGCACTGAGAACAGATGCAGAGACAACAGCGGACATGGTCACACCACTACTGCAGAAGGTTAGAAAGGAAGGGAAGGTACCTGCTGATTAGAAGAAGGGCTACCTTGTCAAGCTTCCAAAGAAGAAAGATTCAAGCTTCTGCGAAAACTGAAGAGGAATCATGCTGCTGTCCAACCAAGCAAAATATTCAGCCACATCATCCTGAAGAGACTAAAGGATATGCTGTATTCAAAACTACAACCGGAACAGGCTGGCTGGCTTCAGAAAAACAAATCATGTGCGGATCAAATTGCAACGCTACGCATCATTATATAACAGAGCATTGAATGGCAGTCAACTCTCTACCTCAACTTCACCGATTTCGAAAAGGCTTTTGACAGCGTCTACCGAGAAGTAATTTGGCAGTCGCTTCAGCACTATGGAGTGCTACGAATCTATATGAACCTCATACAACAGCCGTTGAAGACGCCACATGCAAAGTGATCCACAACGGATAGCTCAGTGACGTTTTTGAAATTTGGACAGAAGTAAGAGAAGGTTACCGCCTACTATCAGCGATGATCTTCCTGATTGTGGTGGATTGGACTGGATCATGCAACAGATGACTGTGAGGAGCGAGAAGATGGGTATACGCTGTTTGACCCTTGAAAAGACCCTAGAAGATTTGGATTTTCCGATGGGTTATGCATATCTAATGTCGCACAAACTCGAAGATCTACAGGCGAAAACTAACAAGTTGACAGAAGATGCAGGCCAGGGAAAACGGGACTTCAAGTGAATGGAGAGAAGATGGAGGTGATGAAGATACCCAACAATAATAACAAGAATAATAATAAGAAAAAGAATCAGCAATCACCATGAACAGGAGGAATCTTAAGGAAGTAGTCTCTTACACTTACGTAGGCAAGGCAGTGTGGTTTCAACTGCAGGTAGCGGCACATATGAGGAAGTCAAATCACCCAGGATTGTTAAGACAGCAAGATAGGTCTTCCTGCATTAATCTGAAATCAGTGTGGAGATCTACTACACTCAGCACAAAGACCAAGATCCGGATTTTAAACACAGATGTCAAGTCAGTGCTACTATATTGTTGAGAAACTTGGCGTGTCACGAAAAGCACTTCCAACAAACTGCAGATACCATCAACAGCTGCCCATACTAGCTCAATACTGAAGATCAGATGGCCAGAAAGAATAAGCAACAAGGAACTCTGGGAACGAACCAACCAAGAACCTATCACCCAACAAATATGCGGAAGAGGAAAGTGGAGATTGATTGGACATACACTGAGAAGGCTAACTGGGAGCATCACGCGCCAGGCCGTCCAGTGGAATCCAAAGGAGAAAAGACGAGTTTGGCGTCCGAGGTGAGGGTGACATGGAAGAGATCATGTGAAGAGGAAATGAAAGCTTTTTGACAGTCATGGCACCAGGTTGGAAGGACTTCAGAGAAGAGAGGGCAGTGGAAGAAAGCTACTGAAGCCCTATATCCCATTAGGAACCCAGGGGGAAAAATCTATCTGTTGAAACATTCCTCATGTGGTGTTTATTTGAAGAATAAAAACAGATGTTTTACCACTTATTATTTTGTATATTTGGAGTCTGCTCAGAGGACTATTCACCAAAAACTTATGCAAGCGTTTTATTTTGTGCTGAAAGGTAGGGATCTATTAGGAGTTAGAAAATTCTCAAGATAATCTGTATTGAAACGACTTGTGTTATTTCGTAATGGTATCTATTATCTTTGGAAATATACTTAAATTAAGTTAAATGCTGTGATTCTTTTAAGTGTATAATAAAGAGAGCATGGATGATATACGATTTATTTTTACTCAGTTGACCCTATCATCGTTTCTATTGTAGCTGTTTTATTTCGAGCTTCAGTCATAACTCACTGAAATCTATCAGCCAAATTAGAGGTGTAGTTAAACGTGCTTCTTACTTGTCAGTGTATGGGTCCAACCTTTCGGGGGTTTCTCCATCTTATAAAAAGCTACCTACCCAATCAAAATACGGGAACCTGATTGATCGTTGCAGTAAATGCTGTGGTGTTCTTTAAAGCACAGTTTTTGTTATAAGCTTGCCTACTTTGTAAACCAGAATTGTTTAGTTCATTAAAAAGGATATGAGCTAATCTGCATTTGATTCAACGTATACCATGAACTTTTTGTCACTGAATGATTTCAGCTTTCAAAAGTCTTGTAAAGATCCAGAAAAATAATAAGTTGATTACATTTGACCTACTATTCCTTAGATGTATAATGGCAACAAACAACGTCCAATATTTATTTCCCCTTATGAGAAGTTTGACTAATAGCATTACACATGCATTTGTTGTTGAAATTTGACAGGCATGATAGTTATACATAATATTGTAAGTAGATTTAAGTGTAACCTGAGAACTACTGGGATCTAGTAGTAATGACTTTTTAAAGGGTAATAATTCACGTGTCAAAATTTCGGAAAAATTTGATGTTTCTGAAACAAAATGCCTATTCTGAATGACATAACTTTTAGTCACCTGATACTGAATAGTACAATGGAAGCCTGATAAAAGAGAGCGAAACATGTAGTCACAGATAGCTGTTTGTTTAATTTAGTTGAACTGAATAGAAACATTAGACTGCATACTAGTCTTGTCAATGGATATCGATTGTTGTTTACTTTGTGGACACAAAACTGTCATATCCAGTGTGTCACGGTAGTAAGTAGAAACGTTTTACTTCATTATTTTTGTCAGAAAATGTATAAACACCCTTTTGTGATATGGAAAAAGAGAGAAATTTCAAAACGGTTTCTTACTGGTTTATAAACCTTTATTGTTTAGGAAAATCTCTATATACACCACTTGGAATGCCTGTTGGGTGTCACTATGAAGATATTGGGTTGACTTAACAGCTACTTGACAATATTAATTACCGAAAATCGAACAATTTATTTGTCTTAGAGTTAATCAAGAAATTTATAAAATGTTCATTCAATTGGTAAGCCAAATATCCATGTAAATTTTATTGTCAAATGATGATATAGTTTAATTATTTCACTTTTGGATTGATTATCGCATACTGGAGTAATAACTTGCAACAAATTGGTGAGTTCAAACAAACTTATTTTGGTTGATTAATTCGTGAATAACTTAAAGTAATGTTTAGGCATTGTCTTCTAATTGTGAAGTAGTGGGATACTTTTGAAACGAAACATACACATACATTCATTGTTTCGTCTGTCAAAATTTAGGATAAAATATGTTTTACTCCTGCTATGGAGGAATGTTTACTTAAATCTCGAGAAATACAGCTGATGAGAATCTGTATGACATTTAAAAAAGATGCATTTTGATTACTTCATTGTATACTCACTGATCTGGTGAATGACTCATTTTTGAATTGGTGTTCAAGATAGTTCCATTACTTCTACAGCTGTAAGCAAAAGTAAACAATAGAAAATGCCTCATTTTTTCAATTGACCTTTATCATTTTCATCCTACTCAACTACTGTTAACAATACGAACTAAAATTATAAGCAAGGTGAACTGCAAACACAGTATTCTTTATCTTGTACCTATTTCACCATTAACGATTTTTCACAAGCTACAACTGGTTAAATGGATGGGTGAAATATATCTAGTGTAGCGAATATGAAGGGATTAAAATCTTTATATGTATATTCGTGTGCCTTATACCTCATTCAGAAGTAACTCAAAGTACAACAGCTTTTTATAAACTGTTATTTAGCTTGAAAAGTACATTTAATGTAGCTGTAGTTCTAGGAATTTCTGAATTAGCCAAAAATTCTTCCAAGCATAATCACTGTCCAAACAAACAAAACTTTAAATGTTCCACTTTCATACTAGTTATTAGACGCATCATTGTTTGCTTTATTTTTATAACCAAGGTAATAAATTTTAGTACAAAATGGACACCGTTTTTATTTCTTTTCAAGATGCAAATACAACCGAGACTTCTCCTGTAACTGAAGAGATGTGGGTACGTTACAGTAAGTTTTGAGTTACTGGATGCTAAGACATTTTTGGATTTATTATGATGTCAATAATCAGTAAGCAAATCTCCCTTTAGTGATGAGGATGTTTGCAAATTATACTGTTCAATTTAGAGATACTTTAATGTGACAGTGAAATATTTTTCTTTCTATATAAACAACCCAACATAGATTATCAGTTTTCATGAAACTACTTGATCTGAATATATACACTGACTTCATTTTTCTAAATGGAATAAACTCTCACGAGTTCTTTTTGTTTTCAAGGTTTCAGAAGTTATCTTTTATTTGATTTCACTTAACAGTATCTCAGGTGGTTAGTGTCTCTGCATGATGACGCCAGATAGAAAAATTGCATTTTTTGCGGTATCAGTCAAATAAAATATATTTAGTAAGCCAACAAATTTTTTGGCATATCTTTTACCTAGAAGACTAATGTTTTACACAGTATATTTTATTTGGATTATACATTAGCGGTATTTGTGCATAGTATTCAGCGTATTTTGAAGATTTCTTGTCAAAGTATGTTAGACACAGTATTTTATAGGATTTCAGCTTTGAATCATAATAATATTGATGTTTTTCAAGCTGGTGTTCATCGTAGACTGACATATTTTTGAAGAACATTGGAAACCCGGGACAGCTGTTTCGTCGTGTACAGTGTACACCCATGACTCGGCCCACCAGGAATCGAACCAAGAACCTTCAAGTTCCGTGGTCAGCACGTTTCCATTGAACCACTAGATCGAAATCCAGTGGTCCACATTTCCAGCTTCTGTCAATTCATGAAATAGCCTGATCACCACTCAGTTTCATGGCTGAGTATTTGTCCTCATGGCCACCAGGATCGCCTCACCAGTTACGATTTCTTATTGGAACTTCAGAAATCACTCAATCCCCACAAGCCCCCAAATTCAATAGATCAAATGCTCATTGGTGACTTGTTTTGAATGATGATTTCATAAGTTTCAATGAAAAGTAACCAGTGAAGCAATCCTGATGGCTGTGAGGATAAATAATCAACGATGACATTAGGTGATGGTCGCGCTATGTCGTGAATTGACAGAAATTGCAAATACAGACCACTGGATTCTGACCCAATGGTTCAGTAGTAACGTGGTGGTCACGTGACCCGAAGGTTCTAGGTTCAATGCCTGGCTGGGCGTTGTTGAGGAGTCCTATTCTGGGATGAAACAGCTGTCGCATGCTCCCAGGTTTCCAGTGTTCCTCCAGCTGTTGTCAGTCCATGATAAATACCAACTTGAAAATTCACAAAATCCCGACAAACCCCTACATCAATAATGGTGTGATTCAGAATCGAAGCTGGAATTTCGGTGGTGACGTGGAGGTATCACATGATATCAACAGTCCTATGAGTGTTTGCAAAATGTTTGCATGAATATCGCCTTTCTTTTCAAATGTAATTTGTTATACTGAATTTTGGTTTAGTAAAGCCTTACAAATATTTTTACAGTTGAAATTATAAGCAACTTCTTGTGGTTACTAAAGGATAGTTAAAAAGCAAGTTGTATAAACTATTCACTCAATGGAATACAAAATAAAGTGGCAAGCCAATGAGTGTCAAGAGAGTCCAAATACCTTTTCAGTGTAGGAAAATTCAATATTTTTCAATAAAATCCAAAGTCCTTCCTTTTGAATTCCTAACAGTTTGTATCATTTGCATTCAAAAGTACAAATTCAGTATGCCTACATAATGGGCTAGAGAAAATGAAATTCTCTAGTTGTTTCATGGATAGATAAGATACATTTTAAAAAAAGGTTTCTTTTTCAGGTATGCAGCATTGCTGATATGCATCTAGGCTTAATAACTTCACATTAAGTATTTACATACATACACCACTAAGCATCACACTGCTTTGATTAGACTAAAAAATAAACGAAAATGATTTTTCCTGCTAGATGTAACCACCAGGGCACATCAGCAGCTTTTGAGTAACCTGTTACTCCTATAAATGTGAACTGTTACCACTTCCTAAGAAAGACAATGTGACACAGCTATTTGAATCATTATCTACAGATTAGTTTCGATTCGAAACCAGATGATCCTGCCAACATCTTAACCGACAGGTCACCTTAAATATTTTGGTTGAGGGAGATTCCTATGGTATAAATGAGCAGACAGAAAATAACCGATCTTGAAGCTGTTGTTGTTTGGAGTATAAATGCTAGAAAGATTAAAATATTATACCTATCGCATAATGTTTTTCCTTTTTGATTTTAGTTATTACTAGTTAGGCCATCTAGTTTTCAATTTCTAAATTTAATTTAAACTTGACTCTTAATGTGTAGTCATTTTATTGGTATATATAAAGTTAACCAGTCACAATTTATTTTCATTTTCAAGCTCTTCCATATAACCCACGTATAGTAAATTCACGACGGATGCCACCCGGTAAGTGATAGTAATAACCACTGAAAATTATAAGAATTAATAGATTTCAACTTAAAGCTGTTGCATAAGAGGTACTTATTATGACTCAGAAATGTAGTGGTTAAAAATTCTGGTGTTTGAAGTGATGACCACTTAGATCCAGTTTCAGACAGAACACTTTTAGTTATTGATTCGCAGTTATATCTGACTGATAAGTCTCAAATGAGATGTTATTTACATCCTGGTTTTCACTGCTAGAAGCCACTAGAAATATAACACAATAAAAGATATTTAGGTTCTTATTTAGTCATGTAAAAGAGAAGTCCATTTTTTTGGCTCTGAAGTAGAAACTTCATTCATTCAGTCGGGTCTACAAGTTGTTTAGGATGTTGTACAGATAGGCATTATCTTCTTATAAATTCTCAGTGAACGTATTTTGAATCTTAAACAGTGGCTTGTTCAGAAACTCAAAATTGTTTCGTAAAAGATATTGCACATCATATGTTGGCTGAAATCAGTAACTACTGTACAACTTATATGGTCATCTTTCGAATTCATTTCTATAGACACAGGTTTAGGAGTAATTTGTCTTATACTGGCAATAGCTTTAGAATGACAAAAGTTGAGAGGCACCACTGCAAAGCCAACAGTTATATGAGATGAATTTCATGGAGAAGAGAAAGAAGGATAATATTTTCATGAAGGCTCATAATGACACGAACACAGTAACATATTGGTTAGATTAGGTTCGTTCCGGGAGTGAATAACAAACAATGAAGAAGAAAGTAAACCTAGATGTGCTTTCCATCCGGTAACAAATAGCATTCCATTGAAACAAGCAGAAGAAAAAGTGTGTGGGTATATTGGGCTAAGTGAGAAGCTGTAAAAGAGTTTAGAAGTATTAGTTGGTGTGAATAATAATAGATTTCCTGCCAATTTTTCGTAAACTTTCTAGAAAATAACAATACTTCTGTTAAAGATACTCTCTCATTGATACTTGAGTTTATTGGGTCATATAGGAATATTCGTTTTCTGATATCTTGTCTTATCTTGTGGTGGATGTTTACTGATATGTGGAGCAAAATAACACTAATATTCTTTTAAAAACATATTTCTCACTTTTATTCACTACTTGATGAACAGCTTTTCAAAGTGTCAACAAATTACAAGGATATATATTTCACCATATATTCCTTGTAGTGATTAATTTAATTGATTCTAAGGGTTATCGAGAACTTTTATAATATAACTGTAAACTGGAGGATTGAAATTTGACCTGATGAAATTGAATGAGTACGGTATTGGGTAGATGGTTTTTACAAGGAATTTATTCGTAAAATTGTAACGAGGCCAATAATGAATTCTTCGCATTTCTTTGCTACTTGAACGTACTTTAGCCTGTACAGTATTTATTCTCTGGGGAAGCGGCTTCTACGAGGTTGTGAAGCGTCAAAAACTCATAACTGCAACTCACTGGAATTTTGGAAGTATTTTTCTCCAATCTCATACTGTTGGTTAAATATGTCCTTTTGACTTTATTTTCATCGTAATTAGTGGTCGAATGTGTTTTCTGGCTACTGAAATACATTTTGAGTATTTGTCTATTCACTAAGTATTGAACAACTCATTTTATCACTGCTGTTGAAACTCGTAGTTGGCTTAACTAACTTAAAATATCAGTTGCAGTAGAACAGTTACTTTTCAGACAGTGACCCAAGGATTTTGCTGGGTTTTACTCCCCAAAAGACATCCAGGTTTCAGACTATATTCAGATAAGAAGTTTGATTTCCTTGTTATCACTCAACTAGCAGAAGTGTTTTCGAATATATTTTAAATTAAACTTAACATGAAAGTTATTTCTTGTTAAAATTCTTACAAAAATGTCTGGGGTTAACTTAATAACAACTTTAGTTAAACAGTAGCTGATATATCCAATGTAACCAGTAACACCATTTTTCATCTATTCTAGAAATGTCGATAATACCACTTTGTATTTAAAAAAAACTATAATTTATCCACAGCTTATGTGAAAAATAAGTAGAAATTTCATATTGAACCTAATAAGTTTCATTTATTTAAAATTTTATGCTTTTCTTTTGTTGGCGAACTAGTATATATGCGTCATACTGGGTCAAAAAAATTAAAGTGATTTAAGTAAGTTTTACTGTATTTGTTATGTGTTATATGTATATATACTGTTTATTTATAATATCAATCAATATTTGTAATGTGGGAGATAAGTACTGTTATTATATGAATACTTAACTTTGACAGTGATGCTTTCATTCGTGTAATAACATACAATAATGCATACTACATGCCATGTAGTACACCTTAAGCTTCCAAAATTTACGGAAATATGACTGAAAACATATAGTTTGCTTGCATCTGCTCCACTAGTCACCCTGGAATGTTCAAGGTCCACTAAATACAAATGGGAACGCTTTAAAACAAATTCTACTAAAAGTAATAAGTTATGTGTTGTTGAAACAAAATTATAATTTGAGGAGAAAGGTAGGGGGTCAAGGTGAGAACGTTTTATAGGCTCATCCTGAAAATGAGTTCTACGATAAAAGTCACACAACCAGCTTCATTCTTATAACTGTCATGAATGGCATGAAATTCTTAATATGAATTTGTTGTAAATGTTATTAGAAAGTAATGAATTATCTTTGTGAATACCATTTCTGTGAGTTTATAGGCAGTGCTGCCCTATGAAATTTACTCATTGCCAAATGTTTGAACAATAGTGAATATATAACTCATCCTTGCTCTGGATTTCGGACGATGTACGACAACACTTTTATTGACCAACAGTGACTATATATAAACTACCTCCTAGTATAACTTTCAAGAATGCGTTATACTTTGATTCATATTCACATTGAAAATACTGTAAAAAGTGAATCGTAACATCGGCAGATATGCTTACTGATAATCAATACCATACCAGGTTGCAGAAATACATAAATTTAATGGTCTGATTAATGCAGTACTACTCAGTTTAGTGCTGTGCCAGACCTTTCTATTCATCAGTAATTTTCTCATATAATATCTGATATAAATATGATTATATGCATCCGCATTTATATTATGATAAAGACAAAAAAAACAAAAAGTACTTGATCCCTAAACTCTTTACGTGTGCGGTTGATCACTTTTTGCATGAGCTTAGTTTATCAGCTTATACTCTTGTCTTCCTCATACTCTATCTTAAGCGTCATATATGTAGATTACATGATTTTATCATTATTTGTGTGGTGTAGACATTATTAGTGAAAAATCTACAACTTATTGTTACTGTTGAAAAAATTAGAAGCAACCGTTATTAACATAATGATCCAAAAATACTTTTTACCACTAAAACAGCTTATGCTGTAACCAGCATCAATTCTTCATAGGGGAAAGCTGGAAGTGGACAACAAGTTCACTGTTTTCAGCAAAAGTAAAGATCAGTCTGTTAGAATTTGTAGTGCAGTGGTGTGTAAACTGTAAATTAGTTTTCAAAGTGTAATTTTTAGACAACAGTAAATTTTACGGACACGTCCAACGATTCGGTGATTGGAGGCGAGGCAGTGTGTACAAATACAATGATATTCACAAAGCAGCGACATGGATTTGATTTCGCCAGACACCACACCAGTACACACTAAAAATCAGATCGATTTCATCTCAATGTAAAGAAATTGGAGATGGAGACGCAGCTTACTGGACACAAGATCAGGTCAAGAAGGGGAGCAGATGCAGACCATCACCACTCACTACCTATTGCAATGAACCCACCTTCAAAATCAAGTTGGAAGCCCTCATTTCAAAGAAGCTGGTGATAAACCACGGTTCAAGTTCAACACCCACCCAGAACAGAAACTGAACTGAAGGATGAAACTACAAAGGACATCTTCCCGTCAGTCAGCCAGTCATCAGGACGAAATGGGAGACATTGAGCAACATTGGAGGAGGAAGCTGTGTGGAAGAACACTGGAACTCTTTGAGAGAGATGTGGAAAGAAATCTGGATGACCGTATTAGGAAGGAGGAAGAAAGAGGATAAGGAATGTATCTTGACGGACACATGGAAGCTGATAGAGGAGGTGAGAGGAGGATGTTGAAACAGAAGGTGAACCAGTTCAGTGCGGTGATTCCGGTGCAGTGAAGGTATGAAAAACGAGAAGAGGAACTGCACAAAACCTATATAGCACTAAACTGAACAAAGAAGTGTAGAAGAGTGTGCAAAAAGACAAAAGACTTCTAAGACACACTGGCAAGTGAAGCAGAACAGGCTACCAATAGAAGAGAACAGACAACACTGTATCAAATAATCAGATTACTACCTGGGAGGGAAGATATCAACGCAGATGAAACCAATGAAAGATAGTGAAGAGAAGATAGTTACAGAAGAGGAGAAACGAAGGAGACGATGGGCTGGCCACTTCAAAATAACTCTTGAGTCGACACCACCTGTAACTCATCCACAAATATCACTAGCAAAGGCAGAACTACTAGTGAATACAGGCCCTCTGACAAAAGCAGAAGTCCTGGATGCCATAAAAATGCTGAAATTTGGGAAAGCAGTAGGACCAGATAGAATTCTGCCAGAAGCTCTGGAGACGGACACAGAGACAACAACAGACATGCTCACACCACTATTGCAAAAGTTTTGGAAGGAAGTAAATGTACCTGCTGGTTGATTGGAAGAAGAGCTACCTTGTGAAGCTCGTGAAGGAGGGAGACCTAAGCCTTTGCAAGAATTGGTGTGGAATCACACTCCTGTCCACGCCAAGCAAAATACTGAGCGAAATCATCGTGGAGAGGCGAGAAAATGTTCTGCGTTCTAAATTACTACCATAACAGCCTGACTGGATTCAGGAAGAACAAATCATGTGCGGATCAAATCGCAACGCTACGCTACACATCATCATAGAACAGAGCGTACAATGGCAGTCAACTCTCTAACTCAACTTCATGGATTTTGAAGTGGCCTTCGATAGCGTCAACACTACGGTTTTAATGCCACAAACCTTTATCAACCTCATTCAACAACTATATGCTATATGATGCCACATGCTAAGTGATTCACAACGGAAAGCTCATTGACGCCTTTTAAGTGAAGACAGGTAACAGAAGTAAGACAAGGTTACCGTCTACTGTCACCGATGACCTTCCTGATGGTGGTCAACTGGATCATGCAACAGACAATTGTGAGGAGCGAGAAGATGGGTATACGCTGTTTGACCCTTGAACAGACCCTAGAAGATTTGGATTTTCCGATGAGTTATGCATATCTAATGTCGCACAAACTCGAAGATCTACAGGCGAAAACTAATAATTTGCAAAAGAGGCTATGCAGCGAGGACGAGGCTCCCATCAAGTGAATGGAGAGAAGACGGAGGTGATGAAGATATCCAACCAACAACAACAGTAATAATGATAATAAGAATCAGCAATCACCATGAACAGGAGGAATCTTAAGGAAGTAGTCTCTTTCACTTACGTAGGCAAGGCAGTGTGGTTTCAACTGCAGGTAGCGGCACAGATGAGGAAGTCAAATCACCCAGGATTGTTAAAACAGCATGACAGGCTTCGTGCATTAATCTGAAATCAGTGTGGAGATCTACTGCACTCATGGAGTCAGATTTAAAAGACTTCAGGTAACGGAGTGAAATGGCAACGTGCTTCTGAAGCTCCATCTTCCACTAGGAACCCAAAGGACAAATAATAATAATAATAATAATAATAATAATAATAATAACAATAGTATGAATAATAGTGATAATAATAATGAACCGGTTGCTCCTAAGAAATAAGAAAGTTTGGATGTCCGGTTTCATTGTGACTGGAAAAGTTGCAGAATTAAGCGTTTATGTACAATGAGGTTCATATTTTACATATTTCATTACCTATCTTTAAAGCATTTTATGCTATCCATATTCATGGAGTATATACATGCACTGAATATATTTCACATACATATATACAATTTAATAGTAACTACCAAGGGATTATTACTACATGTTGATATACCATTAATTCCCCCTTGTTATGCTGAACCGCATTGTCCAATCTCTGTTGGAATATGGGGTTCCATGTGGTTGCCTAGATACTGCCCGAATCCGGTAATCGAGGAATTTTCACAATTCAATCCTTTAGAACGATGGAGAATTAGTGGTATGTCAACAAACAGTAACAGCTAATACCCTTTGTACAAGAGTTGGTTATCCTGCCTCACTGGTCTAGTTTAAGATGCTATGACGTTTGAAGCGATGGTTACGAGTTTCAAGTCTCGATTGGAACAACACCATTCACTGGGGTGAAGATATATTCGTCTGACGAGTCTGAAATCGGACGAAACGCTCGTCATCGATCCCTCTGCTAGTTACAATCAAGTAAATCGTCATACTGAGGGTTTATTGGCAAAGTATTTCGGCGGTTTTTTAGTCAGTGAATCCTCGTTTTTAGCGAATACATAAATGCGTCTTTTTTTTCACTGAAAATATTGTGTTTTATTCCTATAGATTTAGTCGAATGATCAGTTTGAATCTACTGACCAAATCAGTAAAACTATCACGGAGATAAATATATATACATACATATATACAAAGTGACTAACCATCCTTTTCATTCTCTTCTAATATAAATAGAAAGGGATATATTTTGTCCCCATTGAATTGTCTCTTTTTATTTGGGATCTGTTTTTTCTTCTTTTTGCTCCATAAAGGTACATATTACCTAAGTCATTAATATGTATTATCTGCCTAATCAAACTAGAATTTTCAGGAAAAGAAGTTGAAAAACGTTTTCTGTTTATTATTTTGTTGTTTCATATGCAGACGTTGTGCAAACTATGAAGTGCTTTTGGGCTAAATCAATTTTCATCACACAAATAAATTTAAATGTGTCAGTTTTCAGTTACTCGTAAAGATGAAATATATTCTGTTCTAAATTGTAACTATCTGTTCACCCATTTACTATGAACACAATGGTAATTTGCAGAAACCTAGTTGACATTTATCAGAGATAACTTTTTTCCTGTAACTGAGTTAACTCAACAACCCTACAAATGATACTGGCTTCTAGGTTGGAATTCATGGTGGACTGACATCAGTTAAAGGGAGATTTGAAACCCGGGAGTACTGGACAGATGTTTCGCTCT